TCCTAATTAGCCCCAAACATTGCAAGCTGTAACTATTTATCTCGCTCCAATCCTTCGCATTTTTGGGCCGGTATTGCAAACAACCTTTAAGGTGCACACCACCACCTACTGTACAAGAGTGGTGTATCACCTATAGGTCATTACTCTACCAATCAACACTACTTGTAGGAATTAATTACCATTGTGTTGTGTTACGTTTGTTTTAAATTCTCAACCAATCAATCCCTGTTTCCAACCCTCAAATACTTAAGATGTGCATTCCTGGTATCGTCTTACCTACCCGTCACCTTATCCTGGTCCCAGTATCCCCATCGAGGCTCCACTCCATTCCTGCCTCTCTGAACCTGTCTCTTAGTATTCTTCCCCTCTCTGTTTTGTACATGTTTTGCAAGTGTAATATATGTGTCCACATTTTCTTCACTCCACACCCGTTCAGAGCACAAGGAGACATCGCTTGGAATCCTCCACATCCTGCATTCTTCAACATCGCCTTTTTCACTTTTAAAACATTGTGCCGTTTATCACTGTACTGGTCGGCCAGTCTGAGTCTAGTGGTGATGAATCTCCTCCGTCTGCTTCTTTCTGTATAGATCTTTATTATGACTGAATCTTTCTGTAACTTGTGCGTATCTCCTCCCTTTCTGATTTCCTCCCCACCTCTTTCTGCCATAATGATTCCATACCTTCTTCTTAATTATTGCTTTTGCCTTCTCCTTTTCCAGTGACATACTGGGACCGGCCTGGGTCATGTGAGGCCATCCTTTTCTGTGGGTTGCTTGTGGGTTTTTTCCATCGCTTTTGTGTTACAAATATCCAAAGACAAAACAAAATATATCCGTCCGTAAACCTAAACCGGATAAACAGCCGTACATGTTATTTTTGTTAACACTGTAAACTTGAACAGCTTTTTAACGCAAACGACCTAATGTTAAAGGACGTTATTACCGTGTTTAAGAATATTCGCAATGCAGGTAGATTGTGTTGCTTTTAATGACTGTTTAAAATGCCCCTTTTCTTAATGTCTTTCATTTTTTTTACAAAAGCACTTTTGAATATGTTATAATTTTATGAAAAACATTTAAATTTAAAGAGTACATAACAAATAGGAGGAAAGTAGAAGGTCAATGAAGAAATATAGAATAGTGCGTCACAAGTTAGAAATATTCTACTGTTGTTTGAGTTTGTCATGTATAACTCTCCTGTCTTTCAGATCGCGCCTTTCTCCAGGCCTCTTTGTAATCAGCTCACTTCCCTTACCCGTTGGTCTCCCCAGCCCTTCCCCTCACCTGGTACAACAAACCTACTCCCACCATTATTACTCACAGGCGTAACTTATACCAGTGGGAGGAAACCAGGAGAGGAACAGAGGAGGAGAACCAAAGCACGGTCACTATTTCTTGTCCTTTGCCAGAATTGACCTTGTCTTTTCCTTGGTTCAAAGCTCTCCGTATTTTGTTACCGCTCTATCCTAGATTCTTGTCCTGCACGGTGTTTGACCCCTGCCTGCCCTATATACGGATCTCGAGTTCCTGGCCCTGCCCCCTGTCTGGTTTTGTTGCCTATGCTGGACAGATTTCCTGTTCTGACCCTGCCTGTCCGCCTGAATAAAACTGAAGATTGCTAAAGAAACTGGTTGTATCTGAGTGGTGCTATTGGGTTCTGATCGTACGGGCGTGGATCGTGACGGAATTAGAACCATGATTCAAGAAGAT